TATCATCATCATGATCATCATCATGTGTTATCATCATCATTATCATGAATCATCATCAAGTATTATCATCACCACCATCCATTCTCATAATCATATATCTTCATCACTATCATCATCCACCAAAATTATCAACAACACACCATCATCATGCATTTTCATCCATCATCATTGTAATCAACCACTATCATATATCATCACATCAAAACCTCATCAACAACCCAGTATTATTCTCTCTATTACCTTTATTGGGCTGTACAGTTTCAATTGGTTTATTTTTATTGGTTAATGTCGGAGGTCCACCAGGGGCCATTATTACACTAGCGTGTCGTTCTTGGGGCATTAAAGGGAATCTATGAGGCAGACCCTGTGGATAAGGTGCCATGGGTCTTCCACAGTAGGGTTGTGGAGGGAACGGCTGTCCAAAAGACTGTGGTCTTGACATTGGGATGGCTTGTTCTGGTTCTCTCTTATCTTTCTCTGTTGTTACTAATGTTGGGGTTGGTTGAGCTAAACAAGAAAATGAAAATCAGATACATGCCATCATCAATGGGAGAGAGGATGTTTCGGCATGTATCTTTGGGGGAAAATGCCCTGTCCTATTGAAAATCCCTGATAGGAATATTGAGCACATGGCCCTCCATATTGTAATGGATGCTCCTAGCACTGAGCTACTGGGTGTCATTAATTGTCTTAAAAGATAAAACAGCAGAGAATTGTAGCAAGGGAACCTCTCAGCTTGCAGATTAGGTAATCTAATTCTACTTGATAGAAGAAATGATAAGATGTAATCAGTTCACAAAACAATGAAAGCCAATTTCGGCTGGTGATTGAGAATTAACTTTAAGAAATTAACATTAGGAAGCACCGGTGGCGTGCGCTGCTAATGCGCCGCCTCTCACCAATGCGACCCGAGTTCGAGTCCTGCTGATCTCGATGTCATATGTGAGTAGAGTTGTTTGTTGGTTCTCTCCTGTGCTTCGAGGGTGTTTCTCCGGGTTCTCCGGTTTTCCTCCCTCCTCAAAAATCAACTGCTAAATCCTAATTCGATTTTTGGGCTTTCACTTAGTTTGGAGCCTAGCTCTGTTGTGATTGTCCCACTTTGTGATACAACAGCGAAAGCTTTGTAGATTTAGATTTAAATCTTTCTTGCTTGGTTTTGAATCAAAGAAGGGACCAAACAAACACATGTGAAGCTAAGTCCAGGAATCAAACCCACAAGTGTCAAGATAAGTAATACTGTTGACCTCATATTAGCCATTCTGAGGTGACTATTTTAGGGGACAAAATCCGGGAACAAAATAGATGCCTCTTCAACCTTGGAACACCTTGGAATGGCTAATAAAGAGTTGATTTTGGTTTCTTACCTGAAGTTGATATAGGAGGTATTATGTTTGGTAATGGTGAACTTTTTGATTCATCTTCAGTTGTTTTTTTATTTTTTCCTTCAGTTTCACTCGCAGGCGAAGCTACTGCAGAAATGGATGTCTCTGTCGATGAGGGCACTGATGATGTAGGTGCTGCTTGTGACCTAGGAGGGCCCTGAGCACTGGGCATAAATCCTGGTGGTAGCTGGGCACCTGGAGGCCTTACGCCATAACTACGTTGCATGTTTGGGCCAAAGTCTCCCATTCGTCGCTGACCCATTTGATCCATCTGTGCTCTCTGTAGCCTTGGAGGACCATTCATTCCTGGAAAACCAGGGAATTGATTTTGTGCTGCGCCTGGATGATTAGGGGTGATTGGCATACGATACTGATCTGGTCGATTGGACATCCCTGCAGGATTGGGTCCAAACTGATCTGGGTACCGACGTTGTTCAGGTTGTAATGTAGAAGACTGCCCTTGATGTGTTGGGGATGAGGATTGACTTGACATTGGTGTTCTAGATGATTCGGGTATCATCTGTGGTCTTGTTTGATGTCCCTGTATATTAGGTCTTGGTGGCACAGCTCCAGGGCCTGCTTGCGTACCAGGGGGAAGCCCCATCCTGGTTGGGCCCTGCATCCTTGGTAACCCAGGGGCAGTCATGCCATTAGGAGATGGTCCTTGAAACCTCATGTGACTTGATATACCCTGCTGCGAGTAACTCATCCCTTGTGTGTCAGCCATCGGTGCTCTTGTCAGGGGAGGGGGTTGGTATTGGTATTGATTAAACTGATGCTGCTGAGGGAGGTTGAACCGTGCTATTGCTGCGTTATAATAATTTTGATAAAACTGTGGAGGGTACATTGGTCGTCCATCAGGACCATATCCTGGTGCTACCCCTTGAGGAAACTGGTAGTCCTGTGGGCGACGCCCAGCCATCATGGGGTTAGGCATTCTGTTCATACCCATTTCATTCATAAACGGGAACGGCATTGAGCCCATTGTCTTGTTTGGTGACTGTGTGTCCACCTTGTTACCAACAAAGTCATCAATTGAAAATTCAGTTCTTCTGGGTTTAAACTTGTTCTCTTTTTCCCGTTCTTTTTTTCTTCCCTTGCGGAGCTCTTCTTCATAATCCTCATCACTATTGTCCTCGTCTTCTGGAAAATGTTTCTTGATTTGACGTTCAAAAGCTGCTTTTAGAGTGTTGGCCATCTTTGTGTACACTGAAAGTGAAATGAGTGAAATAAATTGCTTTAAATGAGAAAGAAAACTGGCGCATTCCTTCTGAATAAATTGTCCTGGTTTTATGAGGGACCACTTAACAGCCAGTGGCTAACAAGCCTGTGTCACTCATTCCGTTATTGAATACAACCCTTTCATGTGATGTTAAAGCAGTTTAATTTAGAGGACAAAGCAAAAGAATTTCAATCTCATGAGAATTGAAAACCTACTGTAAATTCCTCCCAATTGAGCTGCATTCAGACCTGCTGCAAGGGGTCTATTGGAAATTAGAAGTTGATTTTCGCAAAGAGAAGACAACAGGAAAACCTGGAGGAAAACTCTTGAAGGACGGGAGAGAACAAACAAGAAGCTACTCACATATAACACTGAGTCTGGGAATCAAACCTTAGTGGTAATAGCTGAGAGACAAGTGCTCTCACCTCTATGCAACCCATGCTTCCCTAAATAATTGATAAAATGTAGTAATCAGCATTACTTACTGCTGTCTGGTCCGTTATACTCGTCACAATTATCAAACATCAGCTGCATGTCATTTTGAAACTGAAAAAAAGGACCATCAGAACATCAGCAATCGGAAGCAAAATCATTGATAAATGGAAGAGTTGCTTAGTGTCTTTTTCGCTATGGTTTTAAATGTTTCGTGAGCTATGACAGCTAGCCTCCTGCTTGCCGCTGTGAATTCCCATTCAGATCAGCCACTGGTAATTTACATAGTACAAAAAATATAGAAAAATCTTTCAATGATTGTCTTATTTCACTGTGTTTTACCTCATCTAGAGTCTTGTATTCTCCTTTGTCCAGCTTCTCTTCAATAGTTGATAAATCCATTGGATGCTGGTAAGATAAAGACATGTCACAATCTTTATAATTATGGAAATATTTTTTTTTGGAGGCAGCATGGCCGAGTGGTCATAGCGTCAGTCTCACAATTCGGTGGTGCTGAGTTCCGCTGCGGACACTAGTTGAGACTGTATTTGTCCTGGTTTCTGAATAGTTCAAATTCAGTATCTCGACCATGCTTGTAAATAGCCAACTGGTTTGCCTCCTTGCCAGTTGGGATTCTTAAAACACTTTATGTTTCTTTGAACATTTCTTCGTTTTAGTTTCATTTCAGTGTCCCCAATTAGTTGCATAAACTAAATACATTGACACTTAAATAAAGTTATTTATTTTATCAATAACAATGAAGGTTGTCAAGTCAAAAGAGTATTTACTTACCTCTATTATCTCATGGTATTGAGGAGCATAGGACTCATCAACTGGCTCAAGAAACGGCCATGCGTTATTGTGCTTTTTGAGGTAATCAAGAACTGCAAAAATATTATACAAAGTAAACGAGTAGCAAAAAGGAGCACACTACTACTACTTGATTCCCAAGGGGGGAATGGCAAGGAGATTTAGATCTTGTCTTACCTTTGTACATTCCCGTATATAAATCTTCATCTCTATCATCATCACTAAAGGTAAACCAAAAAATATCTAGTAATCAACTCAAATAAAAATCCCACAGAAAATGTCAAAATTTCGAAGCCCTAACCTACAAATAAAATCTTTGTAAGAGGTGAGTGTTTTGTATAGTTCATTACCCATCAAATTCAGCAACTCTCTCTCTTCTATTGGTTTCTCCTTCATTGCTAGATTCATCCTGGCCATTAATGCCTGGCATCAGTTCTGGGGGGATTTCACCGTTCATTCTCATCCATTGTCTTTCTTCTCTTAATCGTGCTCGCTCAGCACGCTCTGTAAAAAGGAAAGGAAATAAGCAGCATCAATGATTCATTCATTCATTCATTTATTCACTAGTCAGTCAGTATAGCATACTTCACAGGTCACCAACAGCTTTACATAAAAACGAATGTTTTCTGCTATCCTAACACAATAACAAAAAAAGGAAAATGTGTCTACACATGCATAAAACATGAAAGCACAAGGTCAATTTTGCCTGTAATGATAAATCTTTATCTTCTATTTACATTCTTGTAACTAATGCTTAACATTGTCTGCAAGCGTCTACTGGTCGTAAATGTATTTTGTCTAAAACAGGATTACATGCTCTGACAGGTTCTCACACTCTTGTCTACCAAATGCCAAAACAAGTACAACAAATTTATCTAAAAGTTTAAAAGGTCTTTTATTGAGCAACAGAAACTTGTATTTTTTTCTATGTTATGTTTCTCAATTTTAACTGATGCAAGACAAAAAATTTGGAAATCAAGTTTGCTTATTCCAAGTTTATTGTTATTGCATAAATACATTAATCTCTAAATATTAATTTCAGAAAGTAATAACTTCACTTACCTTGTTGCCGTTTTTCAGCCAATCTTTCCTTTTCCTTCTGTTTTTCTTCCTGTTCTATTCTCTTTTCTTCGGCTAGTCTTTCCCTTTCGTTCACCTTCTCTTCCTCTTCTTCTCTTTCATCGTCTTCTCTCATACTCATTTTGATTGCTATTCTTGTAGATGCTCGTCTTGGTGCTAGTTCTAATAGTTTCTTCTGATATGCTTTTTCCTTTGGGAAGACAAAAAACATTCATTAATTTATGATCCATAAAAAATGACAGAACTAAATCAACTTCTGCCCATGAAGTTTAAAAGACGAGGGGTATACATGAATGAATATCACAGACATTTTCCTTTGTGCTAACATACCTTTGCTTCTATCATTTTCCCAATTTCAGGGACAAAGTCCTCTGAAAGGGTTTGATATAGAAGCTTTTCATCACGATTCTTGGATTTCTTGAATGATTCAGCCAGTTCTTCCCATTCGGAAGCGAGAGAACACACAAGAGACCAACCTGCGTTGCTAGAACTTTCTTCTTCAGATTCACTATCAATATCGTCGTCTTCGTCACTAGTAATATCTTCACTGCTAGAACTAGAGATGGAGGAAACAAACAGGATTTAAAAATCCTCTCCCGTTGTATATATTCATATTCCATTACTTATAGTCGCAAATGAAAAAATCTAAGGTCATTTTTTATAAAGCTTTCACTATATAAATCAATGAAAACTTACAAAAAAAGAATTCTTTTCAAAGTATAGTCATCAGCAATTATTTAAAACCATCAAAAGTCTTTTAAATATAAGAAAGATTACATGTATCTTATAAAAAGTTAAAGAATAAAAGTAAGCAACTATTAAACCAATTTACCTTGTAATAAAGTCAGATTCAGAATCCGAAGAGTTTGCTTTCCTTTTCTTTCGTTTTGCCTTCACTTTCTTCTTCTTTCTTTTCTTCTTTTTTGCTGCAAGTTTTTTCTTTTTCTTTTCTAGTTTTCTTTTCTCCTTCTCTTCTTGGGTTAACACGGGAACCTCTTTATAAAGCCGAGTACCGTAGAAGTACCAATAGATGCTACCCTTTGCGTCTCTGCCAAGAGGTTCTACACGTAAGCTATCAGCGTCCAAGCCTTTTAGTAACTCTGGGACGTCAGCAACGTCAAGACGGAAGTCACAAAGATCGTGTAGGATCTTTACTTTTTGTTGAACTGAAAGTTTGCTATTGTAAAAAGTGAAAGTTTCATTAAACTTTGACTTTGTGGACATTTAAATAAATAAACTAATTCGTGGGTCTGATTAAATTGAGGGCAACTTGAAAAAGAGAAAAGTTGAACATTAATTGTTAAACTGTAAACTGTATGGAAAACCATAGAAATTTATGTCATAGAATTGAAGCTATGACTTTGTTGGTAACTACCCACACAAAAAAAACCCGTTAAAATACAAATTAAAGCATATCATATGATCAAAATTAAGTTTGTCGTTAACCTGGGTTTTAATCTTTTTTGTTATATAATTATTAATAATCTTTAAACATTTCTATCCAACATTTGAACTTAATTTCAGCATCTTATAATAAGACCGATTATAAGATTTAATGTAAACAAGAGATAGAACTAGTTTACTTTGTCAATGTTTTGATTAGAAGACATGTAAACACTAGAAAGATTAAAAAGATAAAATCAAAGACAGTCTGTTTTGATTCATGAATTACACTTAAAAGAAGAGTCAGAACTGTTGACATAACTGTTCATAGCAACTAATATTTAGTGAACTTCATGACGATAATTAAATAAAATACATATACAGTAATTGTTTATAATCATAATCTTTGAACAAGCTTTAAAAGATACCAGAATCTATTAGCCTATTATCATTCTTTCCGACAATTCTTCCCAGTTCTGGTATAATTTTCACAAAAAGAATAAAAACCCTGGAGGCAACAACTGTTCTATTTATATAGCTGTTGTTTGTTTAAATACAGACTATAATAAAAATATGATTGGTAAAAGAGAAAAGCTTTCATTAATTTACAATAAGAAAAAAGAAGTGTATTGACTGGAACCTTAATAACAAATTGATATCAGGGTTAATTAATCTAATCTAATGAGTTATCTAAGTCAAATCATATACCTGTCAAAACAAGACCAAAGCTTATATCGGAGATATAACATGTTCTTTGTACGAATTCAATATCTGTCTGTTGCGAGCTTAAATATTAGAGTTAACTTCAATAATGCACACATAGGTCTATTTGTTATTGGATGGTGTAACAATAACGCAGGAAGAAATGTTGAAAATTAATTACTTTCTTAATGTAATTTTTATAGAAACACTTAAGAATATTGTTTCAAAGTTACAGACAAACCTGTGGCATATCATTTAACAAACATTTATCAAAATTCATGATAGTTCAAAGTTCTTTTGCATAGAAACACGTTTAATGCTAAGGGTCAGAGATAATTAGATCCAGAGGCATCCTGTTTGGACGTGAATGCATGAAGGTTAGAAGTTTCTAATTCTTGGTAAAAGCTATTTTCTTTCTAACTTTCAAGAAACAAAACGCAATCAATCATTCAATCCATAATTCAAACAGCAGAATTAATGTTTGTTAAAATCTCACAGCTCTGGCAAGAATATTCTATTAAATCTCACCTATATTCTTTGTCTTTGAGAGGGTTTTCCTTCCCAAGTTCGTCTTCCCAGCGAATTTTTAAAATCTGTGATAAAAACGGCTCAAAGTTATCAGCGCTGTAAATGAAAATAGAAGAATCAGTTAGACAAAAGATGAAAATGGCACGTTGTAACGTACAATAGGTCGTGCTATACGTGAAATATACAACATGTTGCAGGGCTATATTCACGATTATTGAACGTTTCGAATTCAAATACAAACAAACAAATTCGTATACAAACTAAAATGCTCTGTCAAAACTCTTTCGTACAAAAATCACCAGATGAATTATATAAAACGACGCAAAATAAACAAACCTAAATTAGAAAAAGAAATCGAAAAATTTGCGATGAAAAGGAACGACTCGTCGTGCGTTTTGTAAATCAATGAATTAAAAAGAAGAAACGATATGATCTAAAAGTTTTACGAAAATGAAATGGTGAATTATGGATAAGAGAGTTGGAAATGAAGAACCGATGATTGAATAGGTAGTGATCTTATAGAAATGGAATACACGAACACACATCAAACAAGTACTCTGCCTTCGAATTTAGGGTACTATTCTCATATTATTTGGAGGAAAATAAACTTATACTCACTACAGATCTTAGGACAGTTTAAAAGAAAGAATTAGAAAACAATTACAACGACAGACAAATGATACTACAAGCCATAAGATCGTTTGTTCACAGTAGAAATCAAGCAGCTTGTGGCTAATATATCCAACTGTCAAGGCAAAGAGCAAACTTGACGCTTTTTTTCTCCTTGTGCTACGATTCTTAGACATGATAACAAGTGTTGAACTTTTCTAGACGGTTTCTAGTACAAAGAATACGGTTAAGACAATAACAGGATTGGAATCGTGCCGTTGTAACATGAATTTTCTTGTTGAAACAGTCGAAAATGCCAAGAGCCATATAACACTGCATTATGTATTAAACAGGTTGGCGTTGAGCTCTTGTACTACCATTGATCAGAGAGGATAAATATATTTAGTCTACTATTAACAACTGTGATTGACAAATCTATTGTATTTCTGTAAGCTAACTTATAACAGAAAGATTCAAAGTAGAGACGAGAAGCTACTCACTGTATGTCTTTGGTCTCAAACAGACCTCTCAAAAGTCGAGCGTGGAGGTCTCCTAAAAACGTGTTAAGACTCCCGTCGATCGACCCATCGGACAACAATGCCTCTTCCAAATCCTGTATCATTCGAAGAAGCAAGATCAACTTATGATGACTTATTTTTATCAAGGCTTTAATTCAAGTGTACGTTACGATATTGAAATCCATCAACTGAACCAAATCAACTTGAAAAAATTATTCAATTTTATCAAACAAGTACGATTGGTAAATTAGCCTTGTGAGGTCATCTACGACAAACATAGTACTTTCTACCCCGACTATGGTGGAAATCGAACACCTCATGATAATTCCTAAGGAAATTTTGAAGGGCGAAAGTTCAAAGATTTTTAGCGAAACTTTCAACTTACCTCAATTTCAAAATCTGTAAGTCCAAATGCCGTCCGGAATAGTGAGCAAAAATGTGCAATACTAGGCACTTCCCACCATGAACGAATATCTAAAGACATGGATAAAGATCGTAGTTAAAGGTTCCGACCCTAGTTTGGCTAGACTAAGTTCCGATTAACCGAAAAAAAAGAATAATGAGAAAGGACAAATACCCTCCATGACAGGCCATGAAAACAGATGGCTTAGCTAACAGCACACAATGACGACACACACTCATGTCCCTGGTACTACTTACATACGGGATCTATCAAGCCACACCAGGGGCTCACATACACCTCATCCTAACGTACCTAACCTAAGGACCCCTCTCTCTTATCCTATTTCCTAATAACGTCTAATAATATCTATAATATCATCAATTTTTCTTGTTCTTTATTCTCGATTTTTTATCTAATTTTAAATAATTTTTTGTTGTTGTGGTATAAAATTTTAAATTCAACATAAGCTTTTCGATATTGTTTTTCGATATTAGATCCTTTCCCGCGTTGAATTATTTATTGCTTCCTAGCTTCGCCGCTAACGAATTAAAGCAGGTATATGTTATTAGTATTGACAAAGTGGAAATTAATTTTCCTCCGGGAAAAGAAAAATAAATAAACTTTTTGTGAATATGAAATGAGTTGCGGTGCGCAATGCTCCACGGGTAATCAAGATGGCGGCTGACAGCAGATTAAAAACATTGAAAAATACAAGTTCAGCTTTGATCTAAATTACGGGATAAAAATAGTTTATTGTTACTATTGAACTCCAGAAACGTAGCTAAGAATGCGATTTAATGATGACTGGGATTATTGGTGACGACGAGGCGGAAATAGAGGCAGAAATTCAACGAGAACTCGATGAAATTTGTGAAGACAATATAGAAATTGAGGACCTGGAAAATGAAGACTTGATCTCGCCTTATTTAAACGAGAAGGTGAAATATCTACCTAAAATATAATTCTCAATAACATACGTGCCTTGTAGTCGTTATTTTGCATTCTTTTCTTAGTCTCACATTTATTAAACTCTAAAATAACATTGAAATGTTCATCTGTTGCTTGGTAACGGTTATATTATCCAATTTAATAAAATTATTGCATGGGAAAGTAATTATTTTCATGGCAAACTTGATAACCTGCCTTTGATTGGATATCTAGACAATATTTTGATAAGTTAATCTTATTATTGTGGGGTTTTTTTAAATGATAATCTTGTTAGGATGCAGACGTGTTGCCTGATTCGCTACAGCAGTATCTCAGAGCTGTGCAATCAAGAACAGAAGGTGTAGAACAAGATGTGAGGGACTGTGATACTGTGCTGAATAAGCTTCCCATAGGTTTGTTGATATACTAATAATATTTATAATTATTTAATCGATTGTTTTCAAAACAGCTGTTTTCCTTTGAATGTGTAACTGCAGGGATTATGAATGCATAATTTGCAAACATGCCACTGTTGTTTGAAATGATATGCACATTTATTAAATGTTAAAAATACTAGTTTCTTCATTCAGGGGGCATTAATGATGATGATGAACAAATACTGGCACGAAAAATAAAGGAGGCTCTTGGAGATGGTTGTCATGACGACCCACTTGACATCAGAAAGAAGGTGTGAAAAACAATAAATTTCATAGAAACTCTATTTAAATTGTATGCAATAATTTCATACCCCATTTTGGAAATTTCTGCGGAACTTAGTTGTTAATGTATGATTTTCTTTTTCCTCAGGTGCTATCAGAAATTGAAGAATTAGAACAGAATGAAGAGAAGGAAAAAATAAGACGTGAATCAAATGCAGATAATATGGCTATTGATATTATTAGAACAGGTTATAATATTGTAATCTATGTTGCATTTATGATTTTATAAGCCTAGATAGTATAGGGACTTGTAGAGAGGGTATTGGAATAACTTAGTGCATTAGGGGCAAGATCAAAACAATGGTCCAAAATAGGGACCTAATTTTATTGATTTAGGAGGAGGGTACTGGTACCTGTAAGTACCCTCTCCCTATTAGAGACCTGATAACTTTGCTCAATACTGGGTGTCTGTATGAACTATTTCTGTAAATTAATACATCGTTTAGCATACATTGAAACATATCAATCTTTTATTTTTGGGGGATATTTGAAGGGAAAATCCAGGGCTTCACTTCCAGAGGTAGAGGGTTACTGGGTACTGGGTTACCCCACCCATCCCCTATAAATTGGGTCATATTAGATAACAAACATTTTGATCTTATCCTTAACCGTAATGATTTATTTCATAGATATTTCTTATCACTCTTATCCTTAACTGTAATGATTTTATTTCATAGATATTTCTGATCACTCTTATTCTTAACCGTAATGATTTTATTTCATAGATATTTCTGATCAATCTTATCCTTAACCGTAATGATTTTATTTCATAGATATTTCTGATCAATCTTATACTTAACCGTAATGATTTTATTCCATAGATATTTCTGATCAAATAAGAATTCTGGAAGAAGCTGCTGAAAAACAGCTGTTGGAGCTTGAAGAAAAACAAGCCAATAAGAAGCAGAAGAGAAATGAATGGTACGAAGACATGAAAAGAGAAGAGAATAAGAGAATGGAAAAAGTACAAGAGATGAAAAGACAAAGACAACAGGAATTGGAAACAGCACAGAAAAGATTGAATGAAAGTCAGCAGGTAATGTGGATAGAAGGAAGGGATAAATGGATGAGTGGATGGATGGGATGGGAAAGGTAAAGGATGGATGGATGGGTAGATGAATGGATGGAAATGGGATGAATAGTTGGGCAAATGGAGGGACAGGTTGATGGATGGATGGATATATAGGTAGGTGGGTGGGTGGATAGATGGATGTTGTATAGGTGGGTGGGTGGATGGATGATGTATAGGTGGGTGGGTGGGTAGTTGGATGGATGGATGGATAGATAGTTTGGCAATTGGAAGGATAGGTTGATTTATAAATAGGTGAGTTGAGGCTTGAAAGGTAGATGGTTGAGTGAATGGTTGGGTGAGTGGATGGATGGATGGGTGGATAGATGGAAGGATGGATGGATTGGTGAGTGGATGGATGGATAGATGGGTGGGTGGGTGGATAATTTGATGGACAAGTAGGTCCATAGATGGGAGGGTAGAGGGGCAGAAGGGTTGGTGGATAGATTAATAGATAGATATGTGGGTTTGATGTAATATTTCAAACATGTGAGAGAGTTCTTCCTCTGATTTCCAAACACCGAAAAGTGAGTTGAAAAAACGAGGTGCAGCCGAGTTTTTTTAACTGACTTTGAGGTGTTTAGAAATTGGAGGAAGAACTCTCTCAAGTGTTTGAAATTACTTCTCAAACTAATGAATATTTCTTGGAGAAAATCAAAGAAAAAGTTTACGAAATTTAATGCAAATTAAGAACACATTTCCAAACCACCATCACAGTAGTGATTTGCCTTGTTTTCTCGTCATTAAATATTCATGAGTATGAGAAGAATGGTTAGACAGAAGGATAGCTCTACCAGTACCAGTTAATATAAATATTTTAATTCTTTCAGGTTATACAAAAAATGTTGGAAAAGGAAGCTGAACAAGGAAAACAAAAACTGGATCTTCTACAACAACAATTCCAGGTACAGGATATACTTATAGATAAATTGCTTAACTGTAACTTAACTGTTAATGATAATTATCTTAATCACAATATTAGAGCTGCATTATCTACATCCTTTTTGATTTATATGACGTTCTTTGTTACAGGTGGATATACAAGAAATCGAAGAAGAAAGTAAAAAAGAGAAAGCTGCTTTGGAGGAGATGAAAGTGAGACTTTTCTTGATAATTTCATGACCAGAAATTTTTGAGTAGGGAATTTTTGAGTAATTGTGCTGCTTGTTTGCAGAATCAAGAAGCAGAATATCAGAGAAAGAAGCAAAATGCTGCAGCAGTGAAGATACAGAAAACCTATAGAGGGCACAGGTATGATTACAATCCATTGTAATTGGGAAAACCTATAATATTAGATTCCTAGCCTCTCTAATTCAGCACGATTTTGATCAATTGCTTAACTTTTCACTGATTCTTTATTTTTGAATTGTATCCCTGACAACATCGTTAAGAGTTGGATGAATCAAATAAAATAAAATACAGTGAAGATGATGAAGAGGATGTTGGTAATGATGATGCTAGTGGGGATGACGATGGTGATGATGATGTTCATGTTAATGATGATGATGATGATGGTGTATATAGATGACTGTTTGACAGTATGTGATAGGCATGATTGCTGATGGATAATCATTTTTACAGGGTTTATTTACAGCACAAGAACATTTTACAGCAACGGAGATCAGAAAGAATAAAGAAATATGAAGAAGAGTTAGAACAACAAGAACGAGAAGAAAAGAAGAAAATGGAAGAAGTGGAAAGAAGGAAACAAGAAGAAAAAAGAAACGAAGAACTACAGGAGAAAAAGAGAATCGAAGAAGAAAGAAAGAGAAAAGAAGAACAATGGAAGCGGGAACGAGAGGAAGAGAAGCAAAGAGAAGAGGAAAAGAAGAAATTGGAACAATTGAAAAAAGACGAAGAGAAGAAAAAGAAAATAGAAGAGGAGAGAGAAGAACAGAAAAGAAGAGAAGAAAAACGAAAAATAGAAGAACTGAAAAAAGAAGAAGAGAAGAAAAGAAAAGAAGAAGAGGAAAGAGAAGAACAGAAAAGAAGAGAAAAAAGAAAAATACAAGAACTGAAAAAAGAAGAAGAGAAGAAACAAGAAGAAGCAAAGAAGAAAGAATTGGAACTGATAGAAAAACGAAAGAAAGAAGAAGAAGAGGAAAGAAGAAAAGCAGAAGAAAAGATAAGAGAAGATGAACTTAGAAAAGAAATAGAGAGAAAGAAAGAAGAACAGAAAAGAATCGAAGAGGAGAAAAAAACTGCTGCTAGAAGAAAAAAATTAGAAGAAATTGAAAAACAAAAAATGAAAGAGGAAGAGAAGATGAAAGAAGAACAAAGGGAAAGTGAAAAAAAGAAAATGGAAAACAAAAGTGGAAACCCAGACATCAATAGAAACTCAACCAAACTTGAAGGAAGTGAAGAAATTCAAAATTGTTTGGGGTTACGCCATTTAGAGGAAAGAAGACTACAGTGGGTGCAAGAC